TATTTTCAAGTGTGACTTATTATGCATGCTACACTTTCAATAGGTGATCAAAGCATTACGGTTGTATGAGGATTTTTATGCAACTCCATTCAAATTTCTTCATTGTTGGGAAATATTGATCAAAAATCCAAAGTGGTGTTCACAGTTTCTTACAAAGGCAAGTGCATCTAACAAACAAAGTTCAGATAATGGCATTTCACCAACATTGAATGAGTGTTCAACTACTATGCCTGAAGATCTTACACCACCAAAAGAAACTGACCCAGATGGAATTATTCGACGACAAGGAAGAAAAAATTGTAAAGACAAAAAACGCAGGTTACATGAAGAAAAAGGTGTGGTGGATGCCTTGAATATGTTGCAGTCAACTTTGGAGAAACAAGTTGATGTTAATCGAGCAAGCATGCACATGAGAGAGCAAGTGTTGATGAAAGAAATTGAATTAAAAGAAAAGGCTCAAAAGCTAAAAGAGGAAGGATAAAGGAGTGTACCAGAACCGCATTATGAACCAAGATTTGAGCAAGCTGTCACCATCTGTTAGAGCTTCTTATGATATTATGCACGAAAAAATATTGAAAGATTGGGAAAGTGGTGGTCTTTTCTAATCTACAAAAGTAAGTGTTCATATTATATGACTGTTTATTTGATCTTAATTTATTTTGTTACTTATATATATATATATAATTTAAATTGATCTCTTTTATCATTTCTAATCTGTGCAGGTTGCATTTTAGAGGCATCAAGTTTGAAGGCTTTGGCTTACATTCATGAAGACTCTATGATCAAGAACTTTTAGATTTATTGTCATTCTTTATTTATTTCTTTATTGATTTATTTATTTATTTATTTATTTTGAACACTTCAAATGTTTACTCTATGTCTTACGTTTAATTTTGAACACTTGAAATGTTGACCTTCTGTCTTACGTTTAGTTTTGAACACATCAAATAATGTCTTACTTTTCTTGTTTAGAATGAATGTCATCTTTGCTTTATCACTGTGCTTTCAGCTGGAATTAAACTATGTTATATTCTATAGCATGGACAGTAGCAAGAATTCTGCAGAAAAGAAGCAGATGACATCTTTCATAAGGGCTTAAGGGACCTAAGACAATATGTAAAAGTTATACAATCCTAATTATGTGGTGCAGAATTGCAATAGGAACCAATCTGAGTCAGTTTATCTGCATTGGCAGATTTATTGTTGTATCATTCCAAGTACAGTATAGTAATTTGTTATTCCTGAACCAAGTTCTCCATTTTGAGTCTCACCACTCATTTCTTCATGCATGGTAGTATTCAATAAAGATTAATAAAAAAAAGTTAACCACTCATAACAATATTGCAGACGGCAGAATATTCAATTTTAAGCATTTTCTTTTTAGTTTATTGTTTAGAAGATAAAGTGTTAATCAAGTAGCTTAAATTATTTGTTAAAAAAACTATATAAGTCATTACGGAAAAGTATGTTGAATTGGTAATAAGTTTAACGGTTTACACACAAGTCTATGTATAAAACAATTTATAGCTTAACTAATATCAATTTTCCTACCAAGAAATATATAAATTGCTCCATAAGCTCATCCCAAAACATACAAATTGACCAATATATAAAATATCTGAAAATATGTGAAAGTCACATTTATAATTTATTGCACTGAAGAATCCTTTACAAAACTCTGAATAAAATTCACAAACTCAAATGCAATACTGATAGAGTATAACTTAACAAAGATACTTCAATCTTCACTCTGACCGCCATACAATTCCCATACGTGGTTGATAAGATCACGTTTTGATCTTTATGTACTCTTTTATCTTGTATTTCTTTCATTCTACCATTTATTCTCGACATAAGATAAGTAAAATCATGCTCTGGGGTAATGTCTTCTACTGGTTCGTCGCTTTCTGGCCGCCAATTTTCTGGATTGATGCTTTCGGCAACCTCACTTTCAATATCATATTGTGCAAGATGATACACGTCTTCATTATTTTTCCCAAATCGGTTGCACTCCACATGCGAGCAGGACCTTTTACTATATGCCAACGACTTTGTAACACTCCAAATGCACGTTCCACATCCTTCCGAACATATTCTTGGCATTTTGCAAATAGCTTCTCCTTCATAGAAGTAGGTTGTGAAATAGTTTGGATTCATGTGGCATATTGTGGGTAGATACCATCAGATAGATAATATCCCATATTGTACTGATGCCCTTGTATTTTAAAGTCACATGGTGGTGCAATATCATTAACAAGGTCATCAAATAGAGGAGATCTATCGAGAACAGTAACATCATTGTTAGTACCCGCCATACCAAAGAATGCATGCCAAATCCATAAATTATGTGAAGCTACAATCTCTAGAATAAGAGTTGGAACTTTTTTGAACCCGTTAGTAAATGTTCCATGCCAAGCTGTCGGACAATTTTTCCAATGCCAATGCATACTGTTGGTAGAAAATATGTTGAGTAGAAAATTCGGCAGCAATTCAGTACAGTAAAAGTGACTTCTCCAACACAAAAGGAGGGGCAGCCTATTTATAGGCGCTTACAAGAGGTTTGTCAAATGCTAATGGGCTTGGCCCAATTAAACAACTAAAACAAGAAGCCTGATCCAAGGCCAATGGGCTGGTCGGCCCCAGAGTTAAACCAATCAATCCAAGGACCATATTATCTAGCCGGACCGTGTGCTGGGCCTGGTTCGCGCCCGAGCCCAGATATATTGGGTTGATAGTATTGGACCTGGCCCATTATCCCAACACGAGTCCCCCACTCCCCTAGTCGAGTAGCAGACTCGGCTAGAAGGGAGTAGTCAAGCTGATCAACGATCGGTTCGTCTATCGGATCGACTGGCTAGTCGCACCTCCATTGTAGCAGTCTGGGGTGCTCGTCAACGTAATCGTTGGCCCGTAGGGAGGCCATTCTTTGCGGGCCTTGATCGGCCCCTTTGCTTTACTCCCTACTGCTTGCGAAAGGACGGGGGTCTCGTTGACCGGGTATGCAACGTTTCCCATCAGCTTCAATAATTTGGACCTGAAATTCCAAAATACGAGCCTTGTTTTTCTGTAGCCGTATATTGACCATGCGACGGATATACTTGGGCTTTAGCCGCACACCCGACCAATAAAGAACCCCGCAGCCAGGGTTGGAATCCCGTCCAAGCCCTCGCGTTCTGTCACAGAAACCCCAGGCCAGCTTCCTAAAATAATCCGGAGCTATTCCAATTAATATTTTCCTTCCTTTTTTTCTTTCCATATTCTTTTAATTTCCTTGAATCCGAGTGTGGCCTAGCCTTAACACCCTCGATCATCCACACGCAATTCAGCCATGCAGGTCCCCTCAGCTTCAGCCGTTCCAGCCGCAGCCACGGCATCGCCGCATCGCTCCATCCCCAGCCGGCGAAGGAAACGCAGCGGCTCCCCTTCTCCGTCGCGCCGGAGGGAGGGTCATTCCGACGTTGTTCGCCGTCGCGATTTTGTAGCCCAAGCGGTCGAAAAAAACCCAGCGATTCACGGTCATCATCGCCGCCTGTTCCAAGCCTATGCACAGGTTCTCAACACAGTTCACGACACGGAGCTCATCATAGTGCCCTCTCCACCCGTGAACGTCGTCCGTCTGTCAAACAGTCCCAGCAACCTCCAGCGGGTCAAATATCATCTGCGCGAGACCCCCCGGGCGAGGCAGACGCACTGCCACAGTCTGGGAACTTGGTTGCACGAGCCCATCGTGGCGAGGTGGGGAAGGAGTCCGTGCGTGGAGGCTCGGTTAAACAAATTCAAGCCAGCGGGGTGAATGCAACGTCTCAGCCCGAATTCGGGGCATCAGGGAAAAATCAAGGGGTCTCCGATAATTTTTCGGTGCATGAAAAGGTCACCACCTCCTCGCGGTTGGACAGACCCGCTACGCGGATCGTGATCGTTAAGGGACATCTCCGGACTGCTCCGGGGGGGCCACATGACTAGTCCGTGCCATCCTCCAACAACGTCACCCCTATAGTGGACATTGCCTCACAGTCGGATAGCTCCCCCAAATCAAATGGCGAATCGGATAGCGTCGAAGATCCTAACGCTTGGAGGGAACGTTTGCGTTCCACCAGTACGGAGGCAGATTTGAAGTTGGCAAAAAGTTTGGTCGATAGCAATTGCACCCTCATGTTGCCAGATCCCAAGAGTAGCCTCACTAGCCCTCCTCCAGATTCGTTCTTCGGGGTTCACATTGCATCTATCGCGCGGGGCATGCGAGTGCCTTTATGTCCATTCTTGGTGGCACTCCTTGCCCATATCGGGGTATCGCCGTGCCAGATGACCCCAACCGCACATATGTTTACGGCTGCTTTTGTCGCACGTTGTAGTGGCGTTGGTATCCGACCATCCATATCGTTGTTCCGTGCATGCTTTAGGTGGAACCGTCCTAACAATAAGACAGATGACGGCGGGTTCGTGTCACTTTGCCAATTACCGCACCGCAAGCTCTTTGATCAGTATCCAGAGCCACCTAGGAAGTGGTCGAATAAATGAGTATGGGCATCCGCTCCCCGCTCACTCCCCGTCACGCCCACCTGGGGTATTTCAATGCGCGAGTACAAGCCTGCCTCTCTCACCCCCGACCTTGAGGAGAAGGTCGAGGCCTTGCTCTAAGGGGGCCCTTTCCCGATTAACTCGTATATAGGTAAATCTTCTGCCCAGCAGGTCACGGATACCATATGAAATCATCCCTTAATTTGCTAATATTTTCAGATGTGGCAGGCAACAGACACGAAGTTGCTGCCCCCAATGTGTCATTGGGGACCATGCTCCCACCTCCTGCGCCTGGTGCGAATTTATGTCCGCCCAATCTTGGGGAGAAGCGCGGGGCCTCCCCTTTCCGTGAAGAGCAGGTTGCCATGGACGGAAAAGGTGTGAACTCCATTCTAGTACAAGAGGAGAAAGACTCGGCTGAATTTATTCCACCACCCTCTTGTTTATTTTTATTATTTATTCCTTCTTTTTTTTTCAAGCAGGCCTAGTTACGGTGCAGGGTGTTGCCCCCCAGTCCGTGGTACCTGATGCAAGTAGGAGCGTGTCTGACGCCACCATGCCCGAGGTAGACGCCGGGGTGAAGAGCGGGCAGGGTGTTGCCCCCAGTCCGTGGTACCCGTTGCAAGTAGGGGCATGCCCGACGCCACCATACCCGAGGTAGACGTCGGGGTGAAGAGTGGGGTTCCCCCACGTCATGGGGAACAAGCCGGTAAGAAGAAGAAAGGTGTGAATCCTCCTCTTTGATTCGGGAGCGGAGAAATAGTTCAACCGGTACTAATCCATTTTACTCTGTTTATTTTCTTGCAGAGGTTGCTGGTATGCGGGGCAGGCTCGCTGCTCTGGCCGCAGAGGAGGACGCCAGGTTCCGGCCTTCGAGGACCGAAGTCATTCCCTTCATCGTGGAAAAACAACACGGGGCCCCTCCTGTTAACCAGCCAGCTCCTACCCTCAGTGCTTCATCGATTTTGGATATGGCGCGCTCTATCAAATCTTACAGCGCGGTACGCCGTAATTTGACGTTTCACTCTTCCTTTTTTATTATTATTGTCACTATAATCCTCACTAATTCCATGTCTCCTGCAGGGGCTAATGGACACAGCCGTCGCGCTTCAAACAATAGGTCGTCGTCGCGATGAGCTCCAGCACCAGGCTGACGAGGCTCACCGTCACTCGGTTGCCGTTCAGCGTCGGGCGGACGAAGCAACAGCTGCTCTGTCCGAGCTTCAGTCAAAATATGACTTTCTACAATCGAAGTATGATCGACTGCAAGCATCGTTCACGGATGCGGGGTGTCAGGCAGTTGCGGCATTTCAAACTTCCCCGGAATTTTCAAAAAACATCACTTCGAAGCTGGAGGCTCACCGCTCAGAGCAGGTCTAAGCATGGTTGAAAACCGAGGAGGGTCAACTTTGGCGGGATAAGGAAATTCTCATGTCCTTCAGGTGTGGCCGATACGACATGCAGACCACGTTGTACAATAGGCTGGCAGAGTTCTATCCCGACTTCGATCCCGAAAAATTTGGTTTGCCCGAAATCATGCCAGATCCTGACGGGGCCAACGAGCAAGCGAACGATTTGCCCCTTTTGCACTTAGATATTCCAGATGACTTGGAAGATGCCGTTCATGGCTTTGATTTTGAGACTATCCTCAATGGTGTTCCTGAGAACATGCCTGATCCTTAGATCGTAGATATGGTTCTCTTATATTGTCGTCTTTATTCTCATTTTTGTTGGACATTCCACTTTACATTCCGCACTTGTGTTTTTTTTATTCTCACACTTAGCCATATAAGCTTTCCTCTTTGCGCAACTTTGCACCCGTGTCATGGTTCATCTTTTCTATTCATTTAACCATTTTTTATTCGAGACCACTTGGGGAACTAGTCGGAGATCTGGCTCCCCACCTAAACCACGAGGGGCGGAAGGTTGGCTGGGCCAACCTTGACCGCACCCTGCTTGGTAAGGCGAGGCTGACCCGCACACCATCGGTCTAGGACCAACTGGTGAGCAAGCTGTTTGGCCGTGGTCAGACGACGGATGTGCGAGAAGGGGTCGGAGCACGACTCCCCGCATACCTCCGGCCCGGAGGCCGGTCCTGCACCTTGACTTGTACAACTGGTTTCATACTTAGGAAAATCTGATTTCCTTTTCTGAGAGTTGAACGGAAGTCAGCCAAACATAAGGGCAAGGCCCTCAAGGTCAGACCAGAACGGACCCGCACCATTGATCATAGTAAACGAGTACACATGCTATTAAGCCTAGCAACGTCAGACAACGGACTTGCGAGAAGGACTCGGAGTATGACTTCTCGCATATCTTCGGCCCAGGGCCGGTCATATAGTTGGTGTACCGTCGATTAGATCAAATGAGTGGATGGGTTGTTTAGACAGCGACGTCGGACAACGGATGTACGAGAGCGGCTCGGGGCGCAACCTCTCGCATACCTTTTTGACCCGGGGGCCGGTCTAACGGTCGCCCTGACCAAGTAGCTAGTCCTGGACTTGGAAAATAGTTCGATCATTTCCTTTTCCGAGGATCTAGCAATGATGGACTAAACATCGAGAGCAGGGCGTGATTTTTTTGTTTTTTGTTTTTGTCTTTTTTTTTTGCCCCTGCCCGTTCATTCCCAAGTGAGGTCGGACCTCAGTCAATTCAATAATAAATAGAGAACAACAGACGAACTTTTATTAAAGCAACCGTATTAAAGCAATGGAAGGATTAATTATTAAACATCACTACTGATAAAACTTAAGTAAATGCTCCGCGTTCCATGCACGTTCAATGAGTTTCCCCTTCGTAGTCTTCAATGGTCCAATCACGCCTTCGACGACATAGGGGCCTTCCCACTTGATGGAAAGCTTCCCCTCTTCCGTGGGTTTGCTTGCCTTCCTCCGCCTTAGCACGTAATCTCCTACGTCAAAGCTCCGTGGCACGGCCCGTCTATCCTGGTACGCCTTCACTTGCCTACGGTAATTCTCAGCCCTAATGAATGCCCGATCTCTTCTTTCTTCTATGAGGTGGAGTTCAGCTCTGAGCCTCTCCTCATTGCTGGTTGGCTCGAATTCCTCCACCCGACGACTGGGAATCACTGCCTCAAACGGGGCCCTTGCCTCAAAGCCATAGCATAGAGCGAAAGGAGTTTCGCCTGTCGCCTTCCTGGGGTAGTTCGGAATGTCCACAACACGTTACTCAGCTCTTCAACCCACACTGTCCCGAGAGCTTCCAATTTCTTTTGGAGGCCATCTACAATCGTGCGATTGGTATTCTCCACTTGCCCGTTCGCCTGGGGATAGCAAACGGACACCCGGCTTGACTCCACGCCCCATTCGGCGCAGAATTGCTTGAATGGTTCGCAATCGAACAGCCTTCCATTATCGGAAATAATTTGCAAAGGAACTCCAAATCGACAAAAGATATTCTTCCATATAAACTTCTTGCATTGCAGATGTGTTATGCTAGCGAGCGGCTCTGTTTCCACCCATTTCGTGAAGTAATCCACGGCCACGATGACAAACCTTCTATTTCCGGACCCATTTGGTAAGGGACCAACCAAATCTATACCCCATCAAGTGAATGGTAGAGCAGTGCTAACAGGCGTGTACATCGTTGCCGGCCTTCCGGGGCTCTTCTGAAACTTTTGGCATGTGTCGCACCTCCTTGCGTAATCGGCACAATCCTTCATAATTGTGGGCCAGAAATACCCTTGGAGGACAACTTTCCTGGCCAAGGTGCATGCACCTTGATGGGCCGAACAAACACCGCCATGGAGCTTCGCGACAATCATCTCGGCTTCGTGTGGTCGTAGACACTTCAACAATGCTCCGTTGTAAGACCGTTTATACAGCTTACCGTCCAGGATGACATAGCTCAGAGCCCGTCGCTGGACGAGCTTCGCTTCCTGTTCCTTTTCGGGCAAGGTCCCGTCAGCTATGTAACGTAACAAATCGTCCACCCAGCTCCAATTTACTTCTTGTAGAGGAAGGACGGTTACCGAAGGGGAAGCTGTTATGCTTGAAGTTATCATTTCTTCAACCCGTGCAATCTTGGATATGTGTTCGGGTACTCCTTGGGACAGACGTGATAAGAGGTCGGCATCCCCGTTCTGGCTCCGCGGCACACAAACCAGCTCAGCTCGCCTAAACAATCCGAGAAATTCCCGAATAACATCCCTGTACTTCGCCATCCTTTCTTCCTTTGCCTCGAAATCGCCCTTCACCTGGGATATGACTAATCGAGAATCACACTTCACCGTTATGCATTCCGCTCGCATGGCCGCAGCTATCCGTAGCCCCGACAACAGGGCTTCATACTCAACTTTATTATTGGACACTTTGAACAGGTACCGGTAAGCGTAGTACACTCGAAACCCTTTAGGCGAGATCAAGACGATCCCGCCCCCGCAACCTTTTGTCCCGAACGATCCATCGGTCGCTAGGGTCCACCACTGTTCTTCACTATCTCTTTGTCTTTCCGTAACTTCCCTCGCCGTGCATTCCACAATGAAATCCGCAAGTGCCTGCCCTTTGATGGATGATCGGGGCTGAAATTCGACCTCGTACTGACTAAGAAGCATCAACCACTTCACGACCCGCGTCGTTCTCAGGGTTCTCAATGCTGCGCCCAGGGGTTGATCCGACAGGATTCTGATCGGGTGTGCTTGAAAGTAATGGGTCAACTTCTTCGCCGTGATGTAAGCGGCATAGATGGTCTTCTCGAGCGGGGTGTACCGCAGCTCCGCATTCTGTAAGGTTTTACTTACGTAGTATATGGGGTTCTGAATCCCGCCTTCCTCACGGACCAGCACGGAGCTGATCGCGCCCTGCGACACTCCCAAATACAATATCAGTGTTTCTCCTTTCCTCGGCTTGCTTAACAACGGTTCAGAGAGAAGATACTTCTTTAGGTCCTCGAATGCCCGCTGGCAATCATCCGTCCACGCAAATCCACTTTGTTTCTTGAGAACCTGGAAAAAAGGTAGGGACTTCTCCGCAGATTTTGACATGAAACGCCCAAGTGATGCCAGCCGCCCAGTGAGAACCTGCACTTCCTTCACCGACCTCGGAGGTTCCATGTCAAGGATTGCTCTCACTTTTTCGGGGTTCGGCTCTATCCCTCTCTGGGTGACCATGTACCCCAAAAATTTTCCGCCCTGGACAGCAAACATGCACTTTTTTGGGTTCAGGCGCAGCCGGACTGCCCTCATGATCCCGAAAATTTCGGCTAAGTCGTCGGAATGGTCTGTCGCTCGTACGCTCTTGATGATCATATCGTCTACATACGTTTCCATGTTCCTTCCTAGCACTGTTCGAAACACTTTTGCAACCATTCTCGTGTACGTCGCCCCGAAGTTCTTCAAGCCGAAAGCCATGACTAGATAGCAAAAGATCCCCTCCGGGGTGATGAAAGAGGTTTTCTCCGCATCATCTTCATGCATGGATATCTGATGATACCCCCGAAATGCGTCCATGAAGCTAATGAGTTCGCACCCGGCTGTCCCGTCAACTAGCTGGTCTATGTTAGGTAAAGGGAAAGGGTCCATCGGGCATGCTCTGTTAAGGTCTGTGTAATCGACGCACATTCTCCAAGTCGGGGGCTTCGGTGCCAGGACCACGTTTGCCAACCATTCTGGGTATAATACTTCCTTGATGTGTTTAATAGCCAAGAGCATAGCCACCTCCTTCTTCACGAAATCCCTTCGTTCCACCGAGAGGTGTCTTCTCTTCTGCTGGATCGGCTTCACCGTCGGGTCGACCGCTAGCCTGTGAACGGCCACACTCCGGTCCAACCCCGGCATATCCTCAGGGCCCCATGCGAAGATCACACTGAATGTGACCAACACTTGGATGACCTTCTCTCTCAGCCCGGCTGGGAGCCCCAACCCGATTTTGATCTTTCGCTCCGGGTGCCTGGGATCGATATGAACTTCTTCAACCTCGGAGGTGGGTTCAACGCGGAGCTGGCCATCCTCATACTTCATGGCTTTGCTGTTGATAGTGTGGACCCTGAGGTCCTTTTGTCCGAGTTGTTTGCACGCCTTCATGTAACAACTCTGGGCCATCCTTTGATCTCCCCGAGCTATCCCGACCCCGTTCGAGGTGGGGAACTTCATACATAAATGCTCCTGAGAGATAATGCATCTCAAGTCCTCCAACGCGGGTCTTCCCATGATGATTTTGTGCGGACAGGTTAAACGCACGACAATGAACTCAAGGTTCAACTTTGCTACACAGGGTTCCGAACCCACCATCACGGGCAACACCACACTGCCTTCCGATTCGATTGAGTCCCCGGTAAATCCGGATAAAGGTGTTCTTACCGGACTCAGATCCGCCCCGCTCAGACCAAGGCCTTGGAATGTGTCGTAATACATTACGTTCACCGAGCTTCCATTGTCTACTAGAACTCGATGAATGATTGTATTGTTGATCTCCACCTTAATCATTAAGGCGTCCCTATGCGGTGGTGGCATGGGTGGTAGGTCATCATCAGTGAAGTAGATCGGATCTCTTCTCATCTTCTTTTCTGCAGGTACCCGGGTAATTTCCCCGACGTACAAGGATCGAGCCCATCGTTTCCTTTCGCCTGACGTGTCCCCTCCTTGGGGGCCGCCCATGATGTAGGAGCATCTGTGATGCTTCCGGGCTCCCTCCCCTAGGTCACACTCGTCATCCTCGGACAGAGCTCCGAGCTCGCGCTTCTTTGGAGGTTGGTCAAGGGGCTGTTTCTCCTTGGACGTGGTGGCTTGATCGGAACGCCTCCATGTCAGGTTCCTCCCTTTCTGGGCATTTCCCAGTTTTCCTACAAATTGGCCCAAATATCCTTGTTTGATAAGTGCCTCAATTTGTCTGCGGAGAACGATGCATTCGTCCGTATCATGCCCGAAATTCTGGTGAAACCTGCAGTACTGGTCGGTATTGCGTTTGGCAGTGACCACGTCACATTCCTCTGGGAAGGAAACCAAACCCTGCTCCTCGGCATAGTCGAGGACCGTCCCGACCGGTTGAGCCAAAGGTGTCAGAAGTTTGGTAGGTAGGAGCGGACCGTTCGGGACGTCTGTCCTTCCCTTGTTCTTATTCTTCTTACCTTTGAACCGGCCGCCCTTTCCACCAGACTTCCTATCGGCGTCTTCATCATCTGGGTCACCACGTCTTCCCTTGTCATTCGTGTCTTCTTTCTTTCCATCCTCTTCATCTCTTTTTCTCTGTTCAGCGTCCTCTGCCTCAGCCTGACGGTCAGCCCGCCTCAGGGCTTCCTCGTATAAAGCGGGTGGATTCCTAACAAAATCCTTGTAAAGTTCTCCTGATCGGATAGAATTTGTCAGCATTGCCACTCCGGTCATGTCGTCAAGGCCCTGAACCTTGACCGACTCGACCCTCCATCTTGCCAGGAAAGTGGACAGGGCCTCTTTCTTTCCTTGCTTCAGGCTAAACAGGTGGCTGAAATTCTTCTTCACATCTCGTGAGCCGGCGAACCTCAAGAGGAAGTGCCTAGCCAACTCCCTGAAGTTCCCGATGCTCCCATCGGGCAGTGTGTCATACCATTCACGAGTCGGGCCATCTAGAGTAGCCGCGAATCCTCTGCATCGTATGGCATCTTCGTACCCCATCATGACCATATATGACAGGTAACGTGATATGTGGTGTTGCGGGTCTGAAGTGCCCTTGTAAGTATCCACATTGCAAGGTTTGTAGCCCCTTGGCAACGGAGCCTCCATTATGGCACGAGTGAAGGGCTCCGGGATATGGAGGTCGGCCACGTATGACTCTCCCCCAACAACAACCCTCCTTAGCTCATCCAACCTCAGTCTGAGATCCTCCACAGCTTCCGGCGCCGGTTCCTCTGGCACGCGCCCAACACGGGGCTGGACCCGCACATAGGATTCTGCGACTCTTTCACGCGCGTGAGGCCGACGGCCACCACGGGGGCCTTCTATGGAACCGGTTCGACCGCTCAGACGGCGGGGTTGATGAGAGAAGTCATCCCCGCCCTCCAGTGACGAGTCTCGGTGGGGCCCTCCTCTTCCGGGTCGTCGAGGCTGCTCGACCCGTCGGGGCATATGCTCCCTCCGGGGCAAGGATTCCCTTCGTGATTCGTCCAAACTAGTATGTCGCCCTTCATATCTCCCAGAGGAAGTCTCGATGTCTTCAGGGGCGGCATGCCTCAGAGTTTCATGATTAGCTCTCTGCGGCATCATCCCCTGGAAATTCTGAGCCAAAGCCCCAATGGCACGCGTGGCCTCCTGTAGCGCCCGCACTCCAGCGTCAAGTCGGTTCGTGCGCGGAGCCCGACGACGGCGACCTCCAATCCGATCACGAATGGATTGTCTGTCATGACTACGGCTCAGCGAACCCCTCAGGTCCCCTGAGCTCGACAAATGGTTCCGGAGATCTCCTATCGGTCTCACCACCTGGCTTCTCACACGATGGCCATTGGGTTATTCTGAATGCTCGATGTGAATGGAAACTCGCTCTTGCCTTGATGATCCTGCCATTTTCCTCCTCAAAGATTCTACCGAAAACTGAGAGAAGAGTTCAGCTCTCAATGAAAGCACCAATGTTGGTAGAAAATATGTTGAGTAGAAAATTCGGCAGCAATTCAGTACAGTAAAAGTGACTTCTCCAACACAAAAGGAGGGGCGGCCTATTTATAGGCGCTTACAAGAGGTTTGTCAAATGCTAATGGGCTTGGCCCAATTAAACAACTAAAACAAGAAGCCTGATCCAAGGCCAATGGGCTGGTCGGCCCCAGAGTTAAACCAATCAATCCAAGGACCATATTATCTAGCCGGACCGTGTGCTGAGCCTGGTTCGCGCCCGAGCCCAGGCATATTGGGTCGATAGTATTGGACCTGGCCCATAATCCCAACACATACAATCTAGACTACCAAGCATTCCTGGAAATCCGCGAGCTTCACTATCTTTTAATAGACTAGCGATATCAAACTTATTTGGTTTTCTAAGATATTGTTCTTCAAACAATCCTATTATAGCATCACAAATTTTTTTAAGGCATTCAATTGCAGTACTCTCACCAATTTGAACATATTCATCAAGGGAATCAGCTGAACAACCGTATGCAAGCATTCGTATTGCTGCTATAACTTTCTGTAAAGGACTCAACCCTATTTTTCCAACGGCATCAACCTTTTGTGTAAAGTAATTATCGTAATTCTCTACTGCATGCAAAATTCGCTCGAATAGGTTAATATCCATACGAAATCGACGGCGAAACTTATCTGGAGTATACTTTGACTTCTCACCAATGAAGTAGTCACTTTTAATCAAATCATGGCGATCTTTCCTATCACGATAAATGTATTCTCTACCAGCAGTTGAGCCCCCATGTGGACGTTTTTTACCTGTTAAAAACGTTGAAATCAAAATTGGAACCTGAACCGTGGAAGTTTCAACCATGAATGAGTCAGCTTCTTCATCGAAACTATCATCTCTAAAAATTGTCTTGATAAGAGAAAGTGACTCTGCGCTTGATGGTGATCCAGTAGTGGAGCTGAATTCAGAGTCTTCCGATGACATTAGCTGTGACATATTAACATAAATTTAAAATAAAATTTTGATATGATGAATGTAAAAAAACACAATTACTAACTTAAAAAATAGCTAGCAGATTCCTACTTCAATATACGGAGTATGTTGTAGTAAAAATAAAAGAAACACTAATTAATTGAAACTCATAAATGATATTACCGAAAAACAAACAAGACAGGAACAAAGTCAATTTCACATAACCAAATTAAAAAATAATAAGCAATTGTTCTCGTCAACCACCCGATTTGATAAATTCATGCTCATCATTTTTTATCTGTAATGTTTCTAGATAAACCTAAAGAAGAGTATACACATATCAAAATTAATTATCCAAAGGTATGGGGTCTATGGTAGAAGAAGCAAAAATCAAAATGGATCCAATAATCCATTGGGTGTACATTCAATGGTAGAAGATGCAAAAATCAATATGGATCCAATAATCCAATAATCGTTATGTACAATCAGAGTGACTGACTATCACTGACGACTCATGAGCTAATTTGATAGGCTCCTGCAATTGATTCTTTGTGTCGTGGAGTGATGGCTGCCCATGATTTGGTTTATGGGTTTAGTTATATAGGTTTACGGAAAAGTAGTTACCATAATTTTAATATCTTTTATTAATAGGTTAATAGATTTAACACCATGCATTGGACATCTCTTATTAATATCTTTTAATGTGAATCTTATGTGGACAAACATTGCTTTAATTAATTGACATTTGGCAAAATTTACCTTCACTCCAAAGAAGAGCATTGGAGATGCTCTTATAATCAATACCAATTTTGTCTTGGCATTGTACTAAATATAGTTACTTATTTATATAAAATTGGTATGTGTTTTGTATTACCAATTTGACACAATATCATTACTGAAGTTTTATTTCTGGTAAAGTTTTATCATCTCACTTTTTCCCATTTTCTCATTTCTCCTCTTTCCTGTAACGTGCCCCTGTTGTTGCACATAAATCATCTCTATATGTGCAGCTTTTATGATAAGCATGATATTGCGAAAAACACAAAAAAAAGGAAAATAAACTGTCTCATACACTTAAATTATGCGCTAAAAAAATTATTTGTGAGAATCATTTATATATCGCGAGCAAATGAAATACTTTCACAAACACCACATTTGTGTGAGCGTAAGTGTGTCTATGGATGTAGAATATTTATAGATATCACAGGGAAGGTGGGTGTAGTTTATTGGATAAGGGAGGTTTTGCTCCCAATGATTCTTCCTACCTTCACGGAGTTGCTCAGCGGCTGAGAAGGGAGAGGATGGTAATGAAGGTAGCGGGTTCGTGTGGTGGGAGGAGCAGCCTGAAAGGTGATGTAAGTCCTGCTGGATTCTTCCTTTGGAGCCAGTACTGACGAGGTTGAGTGTGATCAGATCCGGATTTAACTGTCTAGGGGCTTTGGAGGGTAGTTCATAGACTCCAGGATTATGGGAGCGTAAGCCCCGACACCTGGATTATCAAAAAAAATTATAGATATCACATGTCTATTGGAATAATAAAAATATAAACGGCTCATAAACAATCATATGCATTTGAACAAGAGAAAATATCCATTTGGAGAGAGAAAATCAAAACCGGTCGTACTCTCTCCGATCCTTATTAAACTTTACACTTTGACTTCACATATATTAAGGAAATAAATTTGACTTTACTGTAGAGTACACTGTTTAATACTGTTTGACACTGTTTTGCACTGTTTGGTGTAGATTTGTTTGCCAAATAAGACAAATAAGGAAGTGTAAAGTTTAATATGGGACGACCCAAAAAAGAAAGTGTAAAGTTAATTAAGGACCGGAGAAAGTACAACATAAAAATTCATTTTTTCCACATTATTTGTGAATATTTTGATGCACACCTCTATTTTACAAGAAATTGGCCTGAAATGCAAAAAATGGAAATTGTCTATACATGGGCATATAAATTACTCCGTAAAGTGTATAAAAACTGATACCAAGTAAAGCTATATTACCCGAAATAGAATTAAAAAGGTTTGAAAATTTTGAAATAGGACTGTCGTTTTTTATTCCCAAAATAGGACTAATTACTGTCATGTTTTGGTAGTACCAGACTTCAAACATGACAATATTTTCTTAACTTGACAGTAATTACTCATATTTTAGGAATAAAAAACATGACAGTCCTATTTTAGAATTTTCAAGCTGTTTTAGTCCTATTTCGGGAACTATCTCAAAGCTTAAACAACATGTAATGGTATGCACACATTGTACAGTAAACAGCATCCTTAATAATTATGCCATGTGTTAGTTTTGTTAATAATAATTAGTCTTAAACTAATGTCAGTCAGTGACCTAACCCCATCTCCCTCCACCATTCTTCTGGCCTCGGGTGGCTCAGCTTCTCCCAGTCAATCCTCAGCATTAAACTTCGAAATCAGTGCACCAGAAATAGACAAACAGTGTTAAACTCTCCACTACCAGCTTACCTTCCACTTTTTTCATTTGTCTTCTTCTCAACCCCCTCTGGTAAGTTGTCCTTGTCCGTCTTCATCTTGTTCTTCTTCTTCCTCCGACTCTGGAAACCCAACATTCTTCCCTGAATCTGTAGGAAAAGTCAAGTTTGACGAGGAGAAAATGAACTGCTTTCATTCCTCATTCTGAGAGATTTACTATGATTTCGATTCAGTTTCACCTCTGAGATTGGCCTCTTATGTTTTCACAAGAGGAAAGTTCTTCGCGTTTGCTCGATGGCAGCTTACCGGGAAGTTTAGAGTGAACTGGGAGTTAGCTGCCAAGACCTCTTTCTAGGAAGCTATGGTGAGGAAGCATGGATGGCAGCTTCCGGCACACACCTTTCAGGTCCCCACCCCTATTGTTTTCGTATACTGCTCATATTTAGCTTGCCCATTTCTGATCTCTTACAATTTAGAGAAATCAATACATGACTATTTGCATATGAGAACTAGACTTAACAAATCTTATCACTGTACACTCGGTGTTTTTGTAAAAGGATTGATCCCGAATTCCTGATGTTGATGGTCTCATAATGTGTTAGCAACTGCTTTTATATTAAAATAAAATGTCGTTTGGATGGAGCCTTGAGGGGGTAGGAAAGGTATTGGTCAGTTGAGCTTAACTAAAAATGTTTAGCTTTGGTCTTAAGTTTCTGACTCATCCGCAACTATTTATCCATTACTATGTGCTTATAGCTTATTTGAGCTATAAGTAGGTTTAACCTTCCTGATTATAAGTAAGACTATATCTTAGATTTTATGTTTTATTAAAAAGATTTGGGGCTTCAAATAATTTTCCAGTAACCATATTATTTTACACTTTTTGAATTAAAACCCCTACTAGTATTATCTTTCACAGTACTTTTAGCTATTGACTTTAAGACCTTCAGCTTTCAAGTTTCAAGGACCTTTTCAGCTAAGTAACCAAACATAGCCCATATAGTCTGCATAATGCCAATAGAGGCAAACCTTTTGGACTTACTGATGGTTAACCATAGTTACAAAACCATTTTAGGTGGTCTCAAAAATTCTGTCTTTGATTCTATAGGCTTCACCTTGACTATCAAATTGAATGGATTTACTTGAGGAATCTTCAATGACGGGGAATGTTTGCAACTTGCAACAGTGGAGTTCCAAATTTCCAATTTGGAATAAGACTGGAAAGCCATTGTTATTATAAGCTTTGCCTTCAGTTCAAATGTACAAGACACAGAGTTTCCCACCAATATAATCCTCTAAAATGACTATGAATTAATATCAGTGTTCTTTTCTAATGATTTCACTGAGCATTGACTAAATTTCTAGGAACAAGTGATTTTATGGAATATATTACTTTTACTTCAAAAGATGGCAGGAAAATGGAATGGAGTTCTTTTATTAACACATTTTTTAATGTAAGTAAGCAACACTTTTGTGCATTTTCAGAAAGACACTTTTAGTACTTAAATGATAAAGTGCTTTTGATTGAAGCACATTTACCCGAAGTTATCCCAAACAGACTCAATTTCTTACAACTTGTGCAGTTTTGGCCTTTAAATACCATTAGTAGTTGTTTGTTAAGGTAATAGTACTATAATGTAAAATAATGAAAATGGGGATGCCTATATGAATGACCCAAAATCTCAATAAGAATAAAAAATATACTACACAGAAACTTACAGAACATGCCATGAGAATGTATTGGGAATGCCCTTATGTAAATTATTTATGCTCAAAGTATGTGCATCTCCAAGTGCATTTTCTAATCTTTGTCTGCTTTTTTAGGTTGTTGCTGTAACTGTTTTCTCCTTATTAGTGGTTGCATTCTATGCTTTTTTCTCTCCTTTCGTTGGAGGACACATTTGGGAGTATGTGCTAGTCGGAACATATTCACCTGTGGTATGTGGGTTTCCGAATCATTTTCCTGAGTCACCTGTGTTGTATATATAATATTGCACAGTTTGTTTGTTTTGCTTTAACCTTGAATTGGAGTGATGTGATTTGTGATTGTAGGCACTCCTGGTGTTTGTTCTTTATGTACGGTGCACTGCTATTAACCCAGCAGATCCTGGCATAATGTCAAGGTTTAACTCTGAGATTTTAACAAGTAGTAGTAATAATAGTAGTACAAGTTCAAAACATGGACTTTCTACAAAAGATACGTCAGGAAAGTTTGAAGGACTTAAAATAGGTGCAAATAATTCTCCTTTGTCAATCTCGAAAATTTCCTTTGCTGCATCAAACTCTGTTAAGAAAGGTCGCGTAGAGGGTGGCAGATCAGATGGCCGAGTGAATTCTTCTAGAAGCAGGAGGGGATCTTATTGTAAGCTTGGAGGAATCTTCTGTGCTTTGTTTGTACATGAGGATTGTCGGAAACAGGATTGTGGAGCTGCACTGGAAGGTGGAAACACTGAAGATGCTTTGTTCTGCACTCTGTGCAATGCCGAGGTATTTATTACTGTGTGAAGTCAGGTTTTTTGCTCAATGAAGCTATTATGTTGTAAATTCGAGGCATATGGCTTCCTTCAAAGCTATAAATCAGATATCATATATTCAGATTCAAATATTCTTATTTTGCTGCACTGAAAATTACAGTTTCCTATCCACCTATATACCATCTGAGCCCCATACTTGGCATCCATTTGCCATAACGTCAATGATTCATCTTAGTTGGAGAACTTCAATTTTGATGTGCACTTCATCCTCTCTCTTCTAATTGTCGCTTCAGAGTTCAGAGGGAAAAGGATCTCAAATAACGGTGACTTTCGAATATCAAAAGAGCATTAGTTACTCATTTTTGACAATACCCTTCTCCATCCATAAATGTTGCTCGCACATAATACTTAAAAGCATTAATCTGGATTTCTAGTCATATTATACTCTTATACCCCCCCCCCCCCCCCCCCCCCCGTCCCTTATAGTGTAGCCAACTTTCAAGTTTTGGTTGTCCCATAACCAGTTTCCCTTTTAAATAATTAAGTGGGTCTTATTAATTCTCCCTAGTGCATTATCCTCAACAGTTTTTACTTTACTAATCCACGTGCCGGACAAACTTGGCTAAGTTATAAGGGATGGATGGAGTAGTATTTTACCTATATTATGCTCAAAGTTGCGAACCACTTAAACAACAATTAAACAGAACGCAAGGAGTGAAACACATTCCAAATTTCCGACATGTTAAGTTTTGGTGTATGCGTGGTAGACATAAGTGTCTACCTTCTAGTGTTTTTACCATTTTAAAAGTGTCTAAAAGCTCTTAGTTGTATGTTTGGCACAACATTTTTAAGGGCTTTAAAATTTAAGATCTTTTTTGAGAAATCACACCGAGTAGCTTCTGAGAGAAAGTATGTAGCCTAGTGCAAGAAGGCATCCCCGCAAGGTTGCTATACCAAACACAACTAAATCAAATAGTCATCTTTTATCAAACAGCTACAACCTTTTTCTTTTTGAAATCTTTTCAGTCACTATAAACTAATAGTTGCTAAAAAAATCACAAAAATATCTTTTCAGCTAGTTGTGCCAAACATGTCCTTAATGTTTTATCATGCCGAGGTAATCCATTTCCTTGTAATGTAATCGAGATCATTTTCTTTGATGGAGGGTATGCATGTCATCAATAAAATGCAGCAAGTGATTTTAAAAGGTCTTCTTTGATAACTATGGAAGAAGTTGGAATACGGTTTTGTAAAATCAATGTACTTATACACAGCCTTGTTGCTGAAATTGGACTGTAGAAGAATGTGTGACTATGAAGATGCAATGTTGACACGTTGATGCACACTAACACGATAATTACACTGCATAAAGGATAGCGTTTGAGGGGTAATTTTCATTGTTATATACTCCATAAAAGTGGAAAGCCACTTTGAGAGGGTTATTTTTAAAATTTTCTCCCCAAATGTCATCCTTCATTCCTTTGTGTGCACAAAATGTATGCTTAGCATGATCCATCTAATATACTACTGCAACACCATTCCTAATTTTATCTTTCTAGGCTTGATTGATTAAACACCTTTTTTCGTCCTATCTTTGTTGTCAGAAAATGATAAACCGACCTTGTTTGTAGCTTTTAGAGTTGTTTTCACTTCTTTGCATGCAGGTTCGCCAGTTTAGCAAACATTGTCGAAGCTGTGATAAATGTGTTGACGGATTTGATCACCATTGTCGTGTACGTCTTAAGTTGTGACTATTGCTTTGCCGAAGGCATATTTTCTTTTATCTCCTAATTTTATTCAGGAGGCTAACATGATTTATTAAAAACTGCAGTGGCTAAATAACTGTGTTGGGCGGAAGAATTATATTACATTTATATCTCTCATGGCCATCAGCTTAGTATGGGTATGTATGTAAAAAGTCAAGTAGTAGGTTGAATATGAAACCAGTTCTCCAGTTTGACCCCCAACCCCTCACTCCTTACAGCTTGCTATTGAAGCTGGGACAGGGATCGCTGTTCTAGTTCGATGCTTTGTGAACAAGAAGAAGATGGAAGCTGAAATAGTTGACAGACTAGGGAATGGTTTCTCTCAGGCCCCATTTGAGACCGTTGTGGTAATCTCCTTCTCACCCATGGCCCCCCTTGTAGGGTATGTTTGTATATTGGAAAAAATAGGGATTTTTTTTACATCTTGTTTTACCTTTTACGGTTAAGGAAAATGAAATTAGATGTTTTAAAATTGATTGCATGTATTTAGATATCTTAGTGCATGTAAAATAAAAAACAAGCTAAGCTTCGGTATGGGCCTGGCATTTATTTTCGTCCAAATTTCTTTCTTTCTAATTTTCCTATCTTTTTGTTTTTCCTATTTATTCCCTACTATTTTCAAGCTTCCAAATGGACTTGTACTGCTGTTGAAATTAGAATGGAATTGTATATAGTGCCTGTAATGTAAAATTGCTTTTTTTAAACATTGTGCAGGGTGTTTGTACAGCGGTTTCAATATTGGCTTGTGTGCCTTTGGGTGAACTTTTCTTTTTCCACATTATATTGATAAAAAAGGTATACGATTATGTACTTATCTGCTATTGTATGCGCCTTTAGCAGTGCAGGATGCTGCATGGATTGGCACATATATTGTGGGTGTTTGGGTGCATGACTTCAAAATGTGTTTTTCAAGTTTTTTGTATTGTTTTAATATGTCAAGATTTCTAAATAGTGTTTGGATAAGTGATTGGATATCTGTTCGACGAAACCTTTCTTAAGTGTTTGAAAACATTGTTTTGGACTTATAAATAAACACAAAAAGCTAAAATCATTACGGGTGTACAATTTGTAGCTTCTTGATTTTAGTGTTTAGAGATTTATCAATGCGCTCCACCAAACGCTAAATCTCAGAGTACTTTACTTCATACGCTATTTGGAACCTAATTCGCTTGCTACCCGGATTCCCCCGCCCCACCTCTTTACAGAGGGAGATGTGTTTTAAAAAAAACTATACAACAACATTACCCCAGTATCGCACAGCCTCCCACCTATGGTGGGGTAAGGGGGGTCAAATGTATGAAACCTTACCCCTGTACTAAAGCACAAAGAGACGGTTTCCGGATGACCCGTGATGAAAATCGCGTCGAAAATTTGCATGGACTGAGTGTTGTTTCATAACAAAGAAACGCAAACAGTTTAGTGAGCCATTTATGCAGCCAAATGGAATAGTTTGTTTTAAGCATAGATAAGTAATGATTATGAGGGAATTTCTGGCAAAGATTCCTATTCTGCAACTTTGTGAACCTTCCCTTCAGTACTATACTATTAAATCTTTTGCTTTGTGTTAGGGCATTACCACTTATGAATATGTAGTGGCAATGAGGGCAGCCATGAGTGAGGTTCCAGGGGGACAATCTACGTACGAAGAACAGGGAAACATTTTGTTCTCCCCAACAGGGTCCGCAATGACTGGTTTTAGCGGTGGAAGCTCTTTAGGCCTTCAGTATAAAGGAGCATGGTGCACCCCTCCTCGAGTGTTTGTTGATTATCAAGTAAATTTCACTACTCTCTAGGTTCATGGGAGTTTTTACTTGGGGAAATTGCATATTTGATCCTCTGTCTATTAGGCAGTATCCAAAATGGCCCCTGTAACTCGACTGTTCTCATATTTGATTCTGTAGTTCACTTTCTTTTACCCGGTTTGAGGTTTTTTTTTTGGTCTAAAAAATTGCTGAATTTCATCACGTGGACCAGAAATGAAAATGTTCCTAGCTCCATTTTAGGTACTACTGCCTGAGATAGAAACCAAATAGGCGATTAGAAGCAGGAATGAATATACCCTTGAACTATGTGTTAGAAAAAACCTTCAACTTTTTTTTAACAATTAAACACAAATTGTAAAGTTGAAACAAATATACCCCTGAACTATATGAGAGAAGAGAAACATATACATATATGCTTCAAATATTAGCACATAAGGGTATATTTGTTTTAATTTTGTATTTTTTGTGTTCAATTGTTCCACATGGAAGTAAGAGGTATATCTGTTCTCTAATACATAGTTTAAAGGTCTATTTGTACTTTCTCCCATAGGCAAATACACAACTTCACAACTTTCCTGTTTTTGCTTCACTTTACAGATGAACCAAATGTTTTGAATATCCTCAGAGTTAGATTTTCTGTTTCTTTCATATTAGTATAATTATTAGGAGTATTTCTTTTCATATCAGGAAGAAGTTGCACCTCAATTAGAACCTGGAATTGTCCTATCAACGGTTGATCCAGATGCAGCTGGGTTTGAGGACAATGACGGAAACAAGGCCTCCAAACGGGCTGTTAAGATCAGTGCATGGAAACTTGCCAAACTAGACTCTAACGAAGCTATGAAAGCAGTGGCTAAAGCCCGTGCATCTTCATCTGTCTTGCGACCAATTGATAACCGCTATTTGGGCGATTCAGAACTAAGCTCCTGTGAGAATATGAGTGTGGCAAGCAGTATGAGTGGTGGAAACATCAAAGACGGGAAGTATGAAGTGCGAATCTCTCACTCATTCCCACACAGTCAAGGAAGCGGGACCCAAAGCGTGAGTAGCTTCAGCAGCCCGAGCAGCCATGTTCATGGGCCGGTCACCCTAAGCCCAATCCCACAAGCTAATAATATATCGGGTCCACCAAATGTCACCGGCTCAAAGGTCACCCAGACTTTTAAGGCTCCTTTATTGACTACAAGTAACAACCGCCCTATATCTCTAGTCCGAGACGTTAAACGAGCGTCTGTTGTGTGGGACCCGGAAGCTGGAAGGTATGTGTCTGTCCCTGTAACCTCTGGAGAAGGCGGCAGTAGTAAAAGACCATCTCTGCTGCCAAACCCGAAAGCAGGCGGGTCTGGTACTTATGAGAAGGGTCAGCCTGTTACTCACCCCCTGGTGGCCCAGCGGCAGCCTGCTGAGACGGTTACGTACACAGGGGGCGGGGAGTCTATATTCTTTGGGGGCCCATTGTTGAGTTCGGGTCGGGAGTCCAAGTTGAAGAGGCATGGTGGGTCCCATCAGCTTCCTGTGTATGCTCCTGGGGATTCGGTGCTGTCGAGGAAGTAGTGCAGAGATGGGGGGGAGGGAGTTAGTTCACCTTTTTTGGATGGCCGTTTTAGGACAAAAGAAACCTCTGAAAGGAGAAGAGTTTGTGTCCTCCAGGAACCTGCTGCTAGGCTGAGGTTCTACAGAGGTTTCTTTTCTTGTTCTATCAGTTTGGTAAGTATTAACAACCGCTGCTGTAAATGATTGAGAAATTGTAGAGCAGATGGAGTGGTGGAACTTTTTAACTCTCAGAATTTAATTTACTGCGTATTATATTATTATTATGAGATCATCAACACCCCCACCCCCCCCCCCCCCCCTCCCCACTTCAAGTTTGTGTGTGTATACTAGGGATGGACTGGGTCGGTTCGGCCTGACCACCGTTACTGTGCGGGATTGGACTGGCCCGGCCGACCGGGACAGAAGCCTGAACCGGGGAATTTTGGGGCGGGCTACGGGATGCTGATTTGGTGGACTGGCCCAGACTGTTCGAGACCGGGCCCAATTTTATTTTTTTGATTTTTTCGCATGGTTTGGATGTTGTTGTTGTTGTTGATTTTTTGCATGGTTTGGCTGCTAGGTGGGTGGGGTTGGGTGAGTTGGGGTTTGGGGGGTGGGGGGTAGGAATAAATTAGAAAAACCATTTTTTTCTAAAAAAAAAGACCTAGACCCGACCCGGGCCGGTACCGGGTCTTCATCCCAAAACTCAGTCCCGCCCCAATCCCGGCACGGGGCCCAACCCGAGCCTATTCCAATTTCCATCCCTAGTGTATACGCTTGAGTTTGTGAGTTTTTTCCCGAATTAATGTTAATTAATTAATTAATTACGAAAATAATGCTGGAAAAAATATATTTACCGATCTACTTTCCATTGTTGGGTTTAACCATTGTTAGGGAAAGTCGTCCAACGTTTGAGCGACGTTCCCTTCCATATGAACGCAGGCTAGCAGCTACTGCTAGCCACGCACGATCGTCCCTGCAAGGGTAGGCACGATCGTGCCTAATTCCGAAAACAGAATTTCAGCAGTTTTTTTGCCCCAGTTCAACCCAGACTCATTTGTTTGCTATAAATAAGGTCTCCTTTCTCCTGTTTAAGTGTTACGAGCCAGATACAACACATTATAAAACATCTTGATACAGAAGTAATCATCCAAGAAAAACACATACAACGCACCACTAAAACACAGTACATACAATCATCTAATATTCATAACAAGTAATCATCTAAGACCACATACAAGAGAAAATATGTAAAATGTTGTAAATTGTTCCTGCAACATCTACTGTACAAGAAAAACTGCAATACAAAAGGCAAAGTAGAAGTTCTCATGGTCATCTTGATCACTCGGCCCAGGATCCGCTGTCACCTCCATGTCTACAAAAAAACAAAATCGTATTAGTTAATTTTTAGTATTATACGAATTCTATTTTTTTTCATCATCCATTTTATTAATTAATATGTTTTCATGCAACACTAAGATGAATTGTGAATTACAATAATTAACACCTTACCCACTGGACCCCCCATCGTGTCTTGACGATCTCTTCGCACATGTGACCCTATTATGACCGGATTGGTAGCATTTTCCACATCTAACCGTTCCTCAGGGACCTTCATCCATCTCATTCTTAATACGTGTCGACTTAGGTCTTCCCTTAGCCCGAAGCATGGATGGATCATGCACGATTTCAGGTCCATTGTAAGTAGGCCAATAATCACGATCAGGAATGGGTTTGAAGAATCTATGATATGTGGCCGCGTATTGGTCAGATGAGAAAAACTTATCCACAAATGGAGCATAAGACAAGCTACGTTGTCTGCACACGGCTAACACATGGGAGCATGGAATCTTATATATCTCCATCTTTTTACAAGATCAAGTTTTCCGTTTAAGATGGACAGTTTGTTTTCTCCCACCCTTCCCCAACGTTCGGCCACCACAACCGGTTTCCACTTGAAATAACCCTCGGCCTAAATCAAATGTAGTAACTATGTGATGCTTGGCCTTCTCTCTATTCTTATCAATTAAATATGTGATGTATGAGGAGTACTCGTGGTCTTCTGTCACTCTCATTTTACTGGTTTCACGCCTATTAACAAAATAAGCATTAACCCGGTAAAAGGAAACCTGGACCAAAGCGGTGATGGGCAAATATCTAGCATTTTTCATCAGACTGTTGAAAACCTCTGCCAGATTAGAAGTGATGGTACCGTATCTGTACCCGCCATCGTGGTGCAATGACCACATTTCCGGGGGAATGTTCCCCAGAAATTGTCGTGCCTCCAAACTCATTTCACCTATCTTCTTGAACCCACCGTCAAACTTCTTTTTCTGATGTTACCATGCGGTCCAGACAAAAATATTTTTTAGATGAATGTCTTTGAAATGAGTGTGCACATTCGATGCAAGATGGCAGATACATAGCCTATGATGCACATAAGGCTCCTCCCAAGTACTGCCCACCTCATTCATTGCCCTGACAATACCTCCATGCCGATCAGAAATGACACACAACTCTCTATTAATGACAAACTGCCTAATACATGCCATAAACCATGGCCAACTATCCTCATTCTCAGATTCAACAACTGCAAAGGCCACTGGAAATATTTGGTTGTTCGCATCACAACCCATGGCCACGAGCAATGTACCCTTGTACTTTCCATACAAGTGTGTGCCATTAATAGTAAGTACGGGTTGACAATGCTTAAAACCATGTATTGATGCCTTGAATGCCCAAAAAACTCTTTGAAACTGCATATAACCTGTGGGAGTATTAGGGGGTGGGTACCACTGCACAATAGTTCCAGGATTTGAATGTTGGAGCGCTGTCATGAAACGGGGTAATTCAGAATATGACTTCTCCCAACCGCCAAATATTTCTGCTATGGCCTTTTGCTTCCCCATCCATGTTCTCCGGTATGATACCGTATACCCATACTTTTCCTTCAGCATCTCAATGATAGTATGCACTTTAAGAGAAGGATCAGTGCGAACAATGTCAATCACATCTTTAGAGATGAAATCTGAAGTCAAAGCCACGTGATCGGTAGTGTCGGTGTTCCCAACACACGTAGCAGAATGAGGTCCAGGATAACGCACAATTGTGAAGGTGTCAAGGTTGCCTTTGTTCTTTGTGGCGGGTATTCTCCAGGGGCAATTACATTATTTCTTCCTTTTGCATTGTGCCACCCATTTGTGTTTATCGGACTCTATCACCTGAAAAAATTGGTTCCGTTTGATAGAATACAAGCTCACCATATTGATGACTTGTTCTTTGTTGTCAAACTGTTGACCCACCTCAAATTCACCTTCAGGAGTAAACCTTTTCTCACCTGATCCACTCAGCCACGCATCAGTAAAGCCTTCAGGGAGATCATACATTCTAGTAAAGTGTGTAGACGGGGCAGTTGCCGTGACCGTATCACCATCATCTTCATCAGATTCTGTCATGTCTTCACCATTGATGTTGTCGTCAGCAACATCATCACTTCCCTGCCCATCCACAAATGATGCACCGTTGTGCAAATATCTACCATATTCCTGTATAACCATGTCCAGTACAGGAGAATTTGAGGATTTCCCTGCATTCACACCTGCATTGACATAATGCCTAGATGCAACAGCATTTGATGTTGATGGAGTACCATAAGCGTCACATATGGATTCCTCAATGTATATCTCCAGCATCGACATGTCCTCCATCTGAACTATGCCCCACATATTTGTTATAGCTAGCTCATCAATAAGAGGGATAAGCATGTACTTTCCCCCGTTCATGGGAAATTTCATTTTCAAACGCAAAGAACAGATAGGATGAATCATTGTGGCTATTTTTTGAAGGATCTCGAGCATGCAAGCACCACGAGAAACCATGATAAATGTGGTTGTACCACCTTCATGACATATTTGCCCAGCATCCTCATAATAGTTCCCTCCCCAATGACACACGATTGGGAAGCTTGAGAAATCCATATTCTAATAACAATTCAAATATATCCAAAAGTCAAAATTCACAAACAACTCACATTTCAATATGAAAATACCCAAATTTTGCTATCTACATTCAAGTCTACATTTCAATACCCAAATTTAGCTACATTCAAATCTACCCAAATGCCCAAATGTCAAAATACACTTTAAAATTTACAATCAGTTTAAAATCAAATTTCAACATTTCATACATATCCACATTTCACAACAACTCAATTCATAATCAATTCATAATCTAAAAATTCGAAAATTTTAACATTCAAAACCCTAAGTTCAAAATGAGATGAAATGGATTTTGATTTACCTACAAGAAAGAAGAAAGAGTGTTGAAGATGAAGATGAAGGTTTGTCGGAGTGGGGTAGCTGGAGATGGAGGTTCGCCGGAGTTCCAAATCGCTTGGTCGTCGTTCGTCCTTCGTCCTTCGTCGCTGCGGCTTGGGGGATTTTGGGGATTGAGTTTAATTTACGCAGTGTTCTGTTGTGACAGGCTGATGTTTTTACTTAAAGGGAAGTCGCCCAACGGTTGGGCAACTTATAAGTCACCAAACCATTTGGCGACTTATAAGTCGCCCAATCGTTGGGCGACTTACCCCGACCATGAATTCGTATCCTTTTATTTATTTATTAAATGCTGCGCGTTCAAAATGGATAGTCTTTGTATAATTCCTCCATAAAAGATTTTGAGTTTTAATTTTCTTGATCTAAGTCATCTAACACATTTATATGTATACTCTAATATTGAGTATCAATTTGTAATCTTATTTTAATTTAGTTTTAGATCTTTAGTGAATCAATATAACTTTTAATCTAGTTTCTGCGTACAAAGTTTTAATTATAAACACTCACAAAAAGTATCAAAGAAGAAGTAGCTTGTTCCTCAACCAATTTAGTTTTTTTTGGAATACTCTTCTAAACCTATAATATTATTATATGCTCTTGTTAATGTTAATCTCCTATATTGCGATGTGATTCGAACATGCGACATCCTCTTTGGAAGATCAACAGTGATGTCATCAGAACACAAGGTACTTAGCTCCTCAATCAATTTAGTCAACCATTTTTTACAAATCACTTGGGACGGAGGAAGTAATTATTACAGAGTAGACTTTGGGCTTGTCATAGACTGTCTCGGCAGCCCCGTGACTGCTTTGAGTGCTAAAGATTGAAATGTTTATAACAAAAAGTGGAAGTAGAGGTAGGCAATTTTAAACGAACATTGTTCAAATCATTCATGTGAACACCCTCAACAGGGATTATTAGTTTATGAAAGTAGAGATTATCTTCATGAATTCCACCTATATTTTATTATTACTAAAATAAAGTAAAGCTCATATGAAAATAAAGTTAAATAGTCATCTTCACTTAATTCATCAAATTAATTTCGAATAGCACTATTCGACGCTCGAAATAAAATCTCAGTGTTTGATAAAAAAAGGTTCAAAGATAAGACTTAATTTGAAAATTAAAGATACAAGCCTAATTTGCTAATTTATAACTTTACTAATATATACTAATTTGTACTTTACATTACCATTGTCTGCACAACCAATAACTCAGCCCTTTTCCTTGCCAAACCCAGCCCCCTCCCTCCTCACTCAGCCCCCTCTCTACCTTCACCCCAGCTTGCTCCCCTGCGCACCAAGCCCCGTCCATATAGCCCTAGCTGCCCTAGCCACGGCAGCTGACGATCACACGACCCTAGCGCCCATGGCCCTCCCCACATCAACCGCTCTATCGAAGACGACGGTGGATGTGGCAAAACAACAAGATTCAGAAGCTCCGGATTAGATATACATTTCGATCGAGTTTTAGGGGGAGAAGTCCGCGACATTTTAGAAAATGAAGAAAGGAGAAAAAGAAGAATGACTGGCTTGTTGAAGAGGAAAGGCATATGTGAATTGGGGGTTTAGCATTTAGGACTATTCAAAAGTTTTTAATCATTTTTGTGTCTAAATTTAATGTTGATCGTATTTATATCCGGTTAAAACTTGGTACTCTTATTTTCACCATTATACTTTAATTTATTGACGGAGAAGGATGCGGAATACACACGACCTCACAGGCTGACCACACTGCTGCCCAATCTATTGCTTGTGGATCACTGCACCCGATAGAACAAGAGGAGCTCTCACATGCAGCCACATGAGAGAAAGTGCATGCACTAGGTTAGTAGCAACATCACCATGTGGGTTCTATATGGAGTATAATCTTATGAGAAAATTACTCAAACTAAGACTAAAACATAATCTTTTTCCAAAAATAAAATCATGTCTCGTTTTCTTTAAATAGACTAACCATTCTAGTTCTACTCCTAATTTAATCAATTAATAAACCTAATTAATTGCTCATAGTTCCTTTGTATAGATGAATTAGGGAATTGCCCCTAGTGTGTCCTTGGTGGCGGCATCAACTCCATGGCGGCGGCGGACGATGGAATTCAGGTGGATCGCCAGAGAAATTCCAGGGGGGATTCTACCGGTGACCGGCAGTCTAGTGCGGTCTGGCAACCTAGGGCAGCAGTGCCCAAGCCTAGTTAAGGTATTTTAGACTAGTTGAACCTGTTTTCGAAAAAAAAACTATATTTTGGTCCTATTTAAGGAACTCTCCCTAATCTTATACTCCCTCCATCCCTAAAACAAGTTCCTAGATGAATTTTACACATATTAAGGAAATAAATATACTAGGGGGTAAATTTTACTATTTTGACACTGTTTGGACACTGTTTGACACTGTTTGGCATTGTTTAGCACTGTTTTGCACTGTTTTGATGTAGATAATTTGCCAAATAAGGAAGTGTAAGGAAGTGGGAACTTAATTTAAGGACTGCCCAAAAAGGAAAGGTGGAACTTGTTTCAAGGACGGAGGGAGTGAACAGTAGAGAAATCAAAAAAAATTGTGAAGGATGTAGTCAAATATTTCAGAAATAGTAGATCACATTATTAATATTGCGTGATAGCATATACTCCCTCCGTCCCTTAAAACTTTGCCAAGTTTGACCGGCACGGGGATTAATAAAGTAAAAATTGTGTGGTAGAGTGATACGTTTGTAATTTCCATATGCATGTTTGTGTTTTTAATTAGTTTTGCTTGATCTTTACTATGGAAATTACACACTTGGTGTAATAGATTAGTTTGTTGAATTCTTGTAAATAGTTTAGATTAGGCATATTCTGAGCTCAAACAGGTCTTGATCACTCAAAGTACAGTTGGTGAACCCAAAGAGTGGAAAGAAGGTGCAAAATTGAAGACAAAAGAAGGATCCTGAATTTTGGTCTATACTCGGTCGAGTATTAACTATACTCGATCGGGTATTAGGTTGAAACTTCAAATCGGATCAGATCCGAAGACAAGGGAACATGCCGGGAGGATTTCAACGGTAGTAAACTTGGAATATTAATGCATGCATCTCATGGTTAATATGCCAAGGGGAATTAATTATATTGATTAAACCAATAAACCGCTTGTGTTGAGGTTATCAATCTCAATCGTTTTCATCTTAAGTTTATTGCTACTATCAAGTTAATATACGACGCTTGTTCTATATTGACTCGATAGTAAGTTTTATTAATGAACGCATCTCGTTATTAATAACTACCCTCGATGAACTGGATATACTCCTCGATTGAGTATTCGAGAGGAAGATAGTTAAAGATATAACCGGGATCGACGAACATTTCATTAAGTGGATAAAAGCAGAACCAAGTCCTCATCTCATTGAATTAAACTCATATAGGTTGTTTATCTTAGTGTTTTTAAATCAAACAAATCTAAACCCCCTTGTTACTACTTATATAGAAGAAAAGTATTCCTTGCCCTGTGAATACGAACCTTACTTCGTTATACTACGTATATTCGTTGTATTGTATTTATTTTGAGTGCACGTCAAAATTTGGTGTCGTTGCCGGGGAAAGGCAATTAATTTTTCTTTTATTTCATTTCAAGAAAAATCAAAAAAAAAATATTAAACAAAAAAATAAAGAGTGTTTATTTTTCTATTTTCTGAGCTTAGTGGAGTTTATGGTTAAACATCGTTCCATAAACGAAATCACATATCACAAAAACCCAGAAATAAAACAAACTTTCGAGCGGTTGAAAAGTAAATTTTCTAATACCGACTCGGAAGAATCATCTACTAGAGACTCATACACCGCTAGCTCTAGTTCTAGCGACACCGAAGAGCCAACCACTATGGCTCTTGAAACAAGAACATTGAGGGAGCTCACAGCTCCAAACCTCAACCAACAACCACGGTGTATTACCTTCCCTACACTTGATGAGGGTAATACGTTTGAGCTAAAATCTGGGCTCATTCATCTGCTGCCATCCTTCCATGGTCTAAGGGGCGAAGACCCAAACAAACATCTCTCGGAATTCCATATTGTTTGCACAAGCATGTGCCCAAATGGAGTTACCGAGGAACAAATCAAGTTGAGGGCTTTTCCATTCTCCCTCAAAGACACAGCTAAGGATTGGCTATTCTATCTCCCTTCAGGGAGTATAGATACATGGGCATCGATGAAAAAATGCTTCCTAGAAAGGTACTACCTTGCATCCGTCTCATCATCTTTGAAAAAACAAATAAGCAACATCGAGCAAAAAGATGATGAGACATTATATGAATATTGGGAGCGTTTTAAAAAATTGTGTGCTAGTTGCCCATACCATGGTTACACAGAGCAAGACCTCATCCTCTACTTCTATGACGGTCTTGCGGAGCAAGATAGACGCCTGGTGAACGCAGCATCTTGAGGGGGAATTGTCAACAAAACCCCTTCCCAAGCTAGGAATCTCATCTCGGAGTTGGCCGAGAATTCTAGACACACTACAATGGGAGGTCATCATCAAAACGGGTCATGGCAGCGGAATCCAACATCTCGTTGGAAAGTCAAGTGGCCGGCTTGACTTCTCTGGTAAAGGATTTCCTTTTAAATCCAAAACACCAAGAAGCCAAGGTCTGCGGCATATGCTCAACACAAGGGCATCTCACCGATTCCTGCCCGACACTACAAGAAGAGAATTCCGAGCAAGTCAATGCTTTGGGATTTCAAGGCCAAAAGAGGTATGATCCACACTCTAACTCCTACAATCCTGGGTGGAGAGATCACCCGAATTTGAGATATGGGAACCCTCAAACTCAGCCCTTGCAACCAACTTTCCCAAAGCACCAAGGCCAAACGTCAAGCTCAAATATGTCCACCGAAGACATGATCCGAGCACTCACCTCAAATGTCTCAACCATGCAATAAAACATGGTTCAATTTCAGCATGAGACCAAATCCAGCATTCAGAATTTGGAAAGCCAAGTCCGTCAAATTGCAAATGCCGTAAACCGACTTGAAACAAAGGACTCGGGTAAACTCCCATCTCAAACGGAGCAAAACCCGAGACAACATGTGAATGCTATAATGTTGAGAAGTGGAGCGACGTTGAAAGAAGTAGAAGAGAACGATAAAGAGATTGAGGGTGTGGACCCTGAAAAAGTAGTCCCACCGTAGGAGGAAATCACAGAAACCAAGCTCCCCCCACCCTCATCATATGAACAAGAAATCCCGTTTCTTGAGGCGCTGAAGGAGACAAAGAAGCTAGAGAAAGATGTCGATATCTATGAAACCTTCGCAAAGTGTGAGGTAAACATTCTGCTTCTTAACTTAATGAAAAATGTCCCTCGTTTTGCTAAATTTTTAAAAGAATTATGCAAAACAAAAAGAAAAGATAAATTGAAGGGGAAACAAGAGGTTAGAGTTAGTGAACGCGTCTCGGCCATTTTTCAGAGAAAACTCCCCGAAAAATGTAACGACCCAGGGATGTTCAATATCCCTTGCAAAATAGGAGACACCACATTTCCTAAGGCCTTGTTGGATTTAGGGGCATCAATAAATGTCATCCCCTATTCTGTTTATAAAACTCTACAACTTGGCCCATTACATCAAACCGGTGTAGTGATTCAACTGGCGGATCATTCTAGTACTTACCCGAAGGGTGTAGTAGAAGATGTGCTAGTAGAAGTAGAAAATATGGTTTTTCTTGTTGACTTCTATGTCCTTGAATTGGGAACTGATGACCAAACAACACCCATCCTTTTGGGTAGACCCTTCATGAAGACCGCAAAAACAAAAATTGACGTTTCTAGTGGTTCATTAACTTTAGAGTTCGATGATCAAAAAGTGGAATTCAACATCTTGGACTCTACGAAAAAACAAATGCAAAATCCAACTCTTTGTTCTTTACATGTTGTTGAACCACAAGAACCGGTATTTTTCAAAGAAGCGGATAAAATCAGATTTTTTCAAGAAGAAAAAAATAAACACGAGAAGCCATCTTTGATAGGAAGGAATGTGATAAAATGTGAACCGAATCCACCTATGATGGAGGTGGTAATGAGAAAGAAACTCCGGCCTTACTGGAAAAGGCCGAAAAAATAAATTTGAAAAATGGCTAAATAAGGCCACAAAAAATGAATCAAGGGATGTTCACGATCCCACTCAAAAAAAATGAAAAAAAAAATGAATAACGTCGTGCCACGACGTTAACTAAGGCGCTTCTTGGGAGGCAACCCAAGTTTATTTTTTAATAATTTCAAGTGTTTATAATTCATTTTTGTCTAATTATTTGAGAGATCAGTGAGAGAGGGAACTAATCACAGGTTTTTGGAGGAAAAGAAATAAAAAATGCAGGTTTTGGAGCATCTGGGGACATACCCGATCGAGTACCACCTTATACTCGGTCGGGTATGGCCAAAAGAAGGGGAACCGGGCATTACTCGATCGAGGAAGCATGGATTTTTGAAAGAAAATAGACATACTCGATCGGGTATCACTATACACCC